TGTGTGTGTGTGTGTGTGTGTGTGTGTGTGTGTGTGTGCACGGGCCGCGATCGCCCCGACAATCAATCAATCAATCAATCAATCAATCAACCAATCGATTGATGTTGATTGATTGACTGATTGATGGATTGATTGATTGACGGATTGAATGGTTTATTGATTGTCTGGATTGAGTCGCGATCGAGTCACGATCGACTCGCGATCGTGACTCGATTGCGACTCGATCGCGACTCGATCCGGACAATCAATAAACCATTCAATCATCGGATCAATCAATCCATCAATCAGTCAATCAATCAACATCAATCGATTGGTTGATTGATTGATTGATTGATTGATTGATTGATTGATTGATTGATTGATTGATTGATTGATTGATTGATTCATTCATTCATTCATTCATTCATTCATTGTTGGGGCGATCGCGGCGCGTGCACACACACACACATACACACACACACATACACATCGAGTCACGATCGAGTCACACACACACATCGAGTCACGATCGAGTTGCGATCGAGTCACGATCGAGTCACGATTAAGTCGCGATCGAGTCGCGATCGAGTCACGATCGAGTTGCGATCGAGTCACGAATCGAGTCCCGATCGAGTCCCGATCGAGTCGCGATCGAGTCACGATTGATTGACTGATTGAATGGTTTATAGAACGGATCGAGTCGCGATCGAGTCACGATCGAGTCGCGATCGAGTCGCGAACGAGTCGCCATCGAGTCGGGATCGAGTCGCGATCCAGTCGCGATCGAGACGCGATCGAGTCGCGATCGAGTCGCGATCGAGTCGCGACTCGATCCCTTGTCGATCTCGACTAATCCCGACTGAGTCAATTTTTAAGTTAATTTTTTTATCAATCGCTACTGAGACAGTTTTTATCGATCGAGTCGGGATCCCGACTCGATCCCGACTCGATCTCGACTAATCGCGACTGAGACAATTTTTTTTATAAGTTTTAATTTAATCAAACAATCAATCAATCAATCAATCAATTAATCAATCTTTCTCACTCTCTCCCTCTCTCTCTCTCTCTCAATCAATGAATCAATCAATCAGCCAAGATAGAATAAGAGCGATAAATCAGCCTCTCTCTTACAATCTTTCTCTCTCTCTCCCTCTCTCCCTCTCTCCCTCTCTCTCCCTCCCTCTCTCTCAGATTTTAAGAGCGATAAATCAGCCAATAATTTGTCCTCCTCTCAACGATTTATATTTGTCAAATCCTCATGTGTCTCCAACCAAGATACCCAATAATCCCGTAATTTATTCAGCCAAGGAAAAATACCACAAAATATCAAATACAATAATAATAGCCTTAGTACCTTCTCACATGTATTTCATAACTTCCTGTTCTCCTTCCTCAACCGTTTCCGCATCGCAAGACACCTTATCAGAGATGTGATCACCCAATATTTGTAAGATATGGTCGTAGCTAGGACGTAGTCTCATTGATRGTCTRAGTTGGTGATGAGGAGCTTCTTCGGACTCCAAACGCAACAAACGCCTTTTGATCTGCAAGTTTCGTTGCATTCACTGTCTTGTTAACATAAGCTATGCCATCCTTCTTGCATAGCTCTTGAAGCTCCGGCTTAGATAACCTCACCAAAATTTTCTTCATGTTCTCAATGTACCGTTCCCTCGCTTTCGGACCATTGGCTGCAACAATAGTCTTTCTTCTCGGAATCACATGATCGAACCCCAAGCCTTCCGTTCCTCCTCGGTTTGGTGGTTCTGACCAATGCGTTCCTCCTTACGCGCCTGCAACCGATGCAAAGCACTAAGATAATGGAACCGTCCTTGATTGGAGTGCACGGCTCCGAATACTTCGCCCACTTATGGCTCGATGTGCCGTGAAGGATGGTCCTGTCTTAGTTGGAGGGACGGTAGTAGGCTCCTCAGGGGTGGCGATAGGTGGAGGAGAAGATCGTCGAGGTGGGCTAGGTGTAGATGATGGAGGGGAAGGAGGAGGGGGGAGAGGGAGGAGGAGGAGGAGGAGAGGGAAGGGGGGGGGAACATGGGATCGAAGAGATAGGAGAGGTCGAGTGGAAGTCGATGGTTGGGAGGTTGGACAAGTGGGGGGTGTCGGAGGCGGATGTCATGGAACAACACCTTCCGCTGTCGGGTTCCTATCCCGCCTCACCATCTGTCTTAGATCGTTAAGTTCCTGGCAGATCCTTGGAAGTGTATTCTCAGTTTTTTCTTGACTACGCCGCATCGCGTTTTCCTCCTTCTTTTGATTACACTTCAAATAGTTAATCTCCATCACCATGAGTCCCGCTTGCAGGTCATTCGTTGGTTCGTCAACTTTTTGTATTCCTTTCTGCTGCTCGACAAGTGAACTCTGCGTCACCTTATCGTTGGATATCTTACATCCTTCCTCAACCCTGATAGGTCTCTCCATCTTGCTTTGATGGCCTGCTCCAATTCTCTCTTATTCTGCCCATATTTTTTTATTGTCCTCACTAATCTTCGTTAACAACATTATCTCCATACTCAAGCTTTGATCCTTATTGCAAATAGGCGAATCAATTMTCTCCATCATCCTCGCGTCCTTCTCGATTGCATTTTTTCCCTTCTCTAACTTCTTCTTGTTCTCGTCCTCTTGTTGCTGCGTTTCCTGTTCCTCCTTCGCCTTCTGCTCTGCTTCCTACTTTCTTYTTTCCTTCTCTTCCCATTTCTCGCTGACGAGCTCTTATAGTAGCGCCGCCACCTCAAGATCCCTCTGCACCACCACCTCCCGAGCTTGATTACCCCTCCAGTACTTGCGATTACCGCCAGTGGTAAGATTACGATTGTTCGTGGTAGCAGAAGTATCGGAGTACGAAGGTAGAGGAGGCGTGGAAGAAAGAGGCCTAGCCACATTAGGTGTTGGGAGAAGGGAAGGGCGGGTGGAAGTGRAARAGGAGGGAAGTGCCTGATTGGCGTGCACTTGTGCCAYGACCGGACAATCGAGTACCCAATGGCTAAGATCGCCACACGCTAGAAACAATCTCGGCCCATTATCACTCCCCGCATATCTAGCCATTCGCAATAATTGACTCCACAAAATAAGAAAAYAGAAGATATCTACAAATCCTATAACTTCAATCATCCGACAAGGTTAAGATAGCCAAATCCAACCCTCAGTCAGTTGTGCGACAAATAGATATTAGTCCTTTGCATACGCCCTTGAAACACCTCGTCCAACAGATAATTGCGATCRCCCACCAATCGGAGTTGTGTAACATGCCGTACATCGTACGGGGCTCTAGTTATACGACTGTATGTACGGTCGTACGATCGTATGAACAGTCCCATACAAAGTGATGAAACCCGTCCAAAAAAAACAAAAAATAAAATAAAATAAAATAAAATATATATATATCGTCAGAAACTGAACTGCCCGGTAAACCGTAGGCATATATATATATATATATATATATATATATATATATATATATATGCAGGGTTACCTGACTGAACGTTCGGGGGCCCTTGGGCTGGCCCCCGAACGTTCGGTCGTTCAGGGTCCCATTCGGGGGCCGAACACCTCCAGGTTAGTCCCCCGCCAAAAATTGTTTCGGGGCCTAAAAATAATTTTTTTTTTCTGAATGTTTTTTTGTGAGTTCTCTATGATGTGCAAGGAAAATAAGTAACAGCAAGATGACAATTCCAGTTCACACCATCACATTGAAAGCCAAATAGTCACACTGTGTCCAGAGAGAAGCATTGCACCAATAATACACCAATGGAAGTTCGTAGCACTGAAAACCAATGTTTGTGGAGAGCACACTCTCTCCTCTCAACACAAGTGTCCAGTTCCCTTACACTCACACTTGGCGCTCAGCGCCCAGCCTACTCCTATACAGCTACTACAGGCTACAAAAAGACAATGCAATTGTTGACATCAGCAACAGCCCGAAGTACTTGAAGATGCCGCTCATGCAGACCATCGCCAATACAAGGTACGTGCCCTCACATCATCATCATCATCATCCTTCACCTATCCCCTGACTTCACCCACACCTGTCGTCTCTGTCACCCGAAGACCACCCTTGCGCTTCACTGTAGTCCAAGCCCACCAGCTATGGTGGCTGGGCTATGGCGCTGCCCTCAGCAGCGCCCTCCTCCTCTGCACGACCGCACGTGCTGCACCTCGCCTCTCCGCGCTAGCAACAGCCTATGAGCATAAGCTCCAGCTGTGCTGCCGCCCAGCATGCGAGTGCCTGAATGAGGCAGCCAGGGTCGAGCTCTTTCCTTTATGGAAGGAGTTGGCCTGCTCACGCAGCCTGGCTGCCTTGGCCTGGGCCGAGAAGCTTCCGGAAGGCCCCAGGGGGCTGCCTGGATGCAGCAGCTACTGGGCTGCTGGGCCTCGTTCGGTTGGGCGCCCAACTGTCTCTGTATGAGGCTGCAAATCACGGCCAGGGCCT